GGGTAGGGGGAAATTAGGCAATTTTTGCTGCGAGAAGGTCGCCTAAACCCTCCTCGAGGAGCATTGCGTGGTGAAAAAGCACATGTGAACAATCACAGAGGTACTTGCCCGACAATGTCGCACTGGCCGGGAATTGAACTACGGTCTCCCGCGTGCCAATCCACGACCTAGCCGACCGAGCCACCGCGCGCTCATATATATATATGGTAGTTATTACTGAAAATGAATGGACGCCACTACACGTGACAAACCTAAACTAATTGCAATGTATTGAACGTAATGCAGTTATCCTTTTCATTAGGATATTCAGTAATTGAGTATGATTTCAATAATATTTAATGTTAAAAGAATGCTTTAAAAATTTTTTATGTAGGTAAAAAAAGTACAGAGTATAGCCATGGCACGTCGTGCAGTTAGGCTAGTCAGTATGATTCTTCGAATCTTCCTATGAATGAACCAACCTCGTATGGATAAACTAGCTATAAAAAAAAAAAAAAAATATAGCGTAAAACTTTGCCTAGAAATTTTTTTAAAGAAAAAAATTACAAGATGGAATAAAAAGTACGTTTACATCCGGATATTATTTCCATGGAGCATCTAGCACAGTATTCTCATCGTTGTTCAATCCCGATAATTGAATGGACACCCTCCCAAGCGAAAAATTTTTTTGTGATTAAATAACGAAAAAAAATACTATCAAATAAAACTATTTCTACTTGGGCTCGAAAGTAATTCATATAACCCCCACTGCAATAAAAGCCATCCACCCTAGCAGGCGTCTTTGAAGAAGGTATTAATTAAATTTAAAATTAACAAATAAATTTAAATCTATTAATTTATTTATGTATAGAACAGTTGCATCGGAAAAATATTGTTCCTAAGTTTTGATAAATTTTTGTAAATTAGTAAATAATTCATTAACGTCTAAAATTTATCAAACTTTTAGAAATAAATTAATTAACAAACAGTGAACGAAGTTTTAAATAAAAAATAAGTTACAAACTATAATATAAATGCAGTAAAAGACAACCTGCTATCTGAGATTGCATGTGGCTAAGTGGAAACAGTGCTGGGCTCATGTGCACGAGGAGGTGACTTTAATCCTGATAAAAAGTGTTTCGCCTCTGGAGAGTTTCGAGTGCCAAACTACGAGCTGTGGCGTTCACACTCTTGGCACAGTACACTTTATCTAGCGCTGAACTGTAGTATTATCGATTTCGAGGAGAGAGATACGACTGTCAGAAGAGCACAATTTTCTTTATTACAAATGAAATCTTTACAAAAAAAGTTCTTACACTTACTCCAAACTTTATCACCTTGTATATTCTCTGATATTAAAAAACCATGCAAAAAATTTTCTTTATTGATAAGGAAGCATGCAAGTACTAGCTTTTTGAAAAATATTATCAATCTGTGAATCTTACTCGATTAAATCCAGGGCAATCGCAAAATCTTTGAATGTTTTATATTTTACATCCTTACGTGTTTTTAAATCTTAAAATGAAGTTGCTGTATTTATTTATTCAATATTAATAAAAAAAGAGTGGTTCATAATCTTTTGATGATACTGTATTTAATCTATCTATTGCAGTATTTGTTATTTTTCTTTTTCTTTTTACCCAAATTTTAGTTGATTATTAAAAATACAGTTTTCTGAGGTATTAAGATCCTTCAAAGATTTTGCAAAATTATCAATTTTATTTAATTCAAACTAAGCTGTGAAATGCGTTTGCTATTTCTTTATTCTCTTCCCAATTTTGTTTTCTTCGAAAATTAATTTTTGTTCATTCTCAATGTACTTAGCAAGATTTACAACTTTGTGACTCCTACCATAAATTGGATATTCTTGCAATCTTCATGCTGCTTCCATGGGACTAAAATATACACCATTAACATAGTTTCTTATTTCATCAAGAATTTTATCATCAGAATTATTTAATCATCAATTTCAATAAAAGCTCTATCACTACCTTTAAGAATGTAGTCATGTATGTATTTTATTCTTTGAATAGATATACAATATGCAACGTTTATGTGGCATCTATAATTTATCAACAAAATTTTATTACACGGTACTACCATTGTCAACTGCAATTTTATGTTTATTTTTACTCTTATATACGTGATTATCCAATGATACATTACGTCACTAGGGCATAAAATACAAACATGAGCGCCCGAAGGGCACGCTTGTTGTAGGTTGACTCCCGAGTCATGTATAATGTTTTTCTTACCGAAGGCGCAAAGTGCATTTTTGGGCCCGTGGGAACACGTTGCACCCAGTAAATCACTTTTGGCCCAGAGGGCGTAAAAACTTTTCTGCCCGTGGGCCCAAACTGATTACAAGGGCGCAAAGCGGTAGTTGCACTTTAAGTCCATGGTAAGAAATAGTAATTTTCATCAGATAAGTGCTGTTGTCTCCACAGATATTTTGCGGCCCGTAAGGTAGCCGCAGAGCGATGGCACTTATGTGGTGAATCCTATTTTTCCTACCGAGGGCACACCCGACCCTCAAAAACTCCCGAGGTCGGGAATGGTAGTTTTCCTACGAGTTTGAAAAGTCTCTGTTTGCGAACCAAGAGGTTTGCGGCCCGAGCCGAAGGCGAGGTCCGTAACGAGGTTCGTAAAGGATACTTTTCGAGTGAGTTTCAGAAAACTGCTTTTTCGCCCGAGGAAGTACCAGCCTCCCAAAACCACCCGAGGGTGGAAATAGTAGTTTTCCTACGAGTTTGAAAGGTCTTTGTTTGCGAACCGAGAGGTTTGCGGCCCGAGCCGAAGGCGAGGTCCGTAACGAGGTTCGTAATGAGACTTTTCGAACGAGTATAGGAAAACTGCTTTTTTGCCCGAGGAAGTACCAGCCTCCCAAAACCACCCGAGGGCGGAAAAATATTATTTTTTCTGATATGTTTGGAATAACCATTTTTTAACGATGTTATGTTAGCAAATGGTTTAGGAAAATTTTGATACATTTGTTATTGGATGTATTTAAACATAGGCTTCTCTTAGTGTGAATACCGTAAAGCATGTGTTTAATAACTAATTTGGCAAGTTTCTTATTATTTAAAGGTATTTTAGCTGATAAAATTTCATCAATATGTTTAGATAAAATTATTTTATTGTTAAGTTGTAGTGTTACTAAAAAATGTGCATGTAGCAAACCACGTTTTTTAAATT